TTTTTTTTTTTTTTTTTTTTTTTTTAAATGTAACATTATAACGTTAAATGTATAGGAATTTTTACATTAAATAGCAAGAAACGATTTATATTGGATTTTTGTGTGTATTGAGCTCTTTTATAATTATATGAATATTTCACATTTAATGCTCTTTCTTTTATTATAATTGTTCTTTTAATAGTACAATGGTGTTTGTAAATAAACATTACGTTTTTACATTGATTTTCCAACGATTTTTCGCACGTTTTTACCTACTCACATTTAAACATTAAAAAAAAGTGTTACGATATTGGCAAAAAACCAAAAAAAAAAAACAAAACAAAAAATAACAAAAACAAAAACAAAAACAAATAGAGGTCTAAAGAGTTTTCTCATGTTCCCAAATAAATAAGACAATCATGTACGAATAATTAATTAATGTTATCCTCGTTGCTCGTTTGTGCAACCGCTATATCCGCATGATTTTTTATTATATCTCATGTCCTTTCACGGCAATCTACGTTTTCCGTTTTTATCGATTATGTGAAAGAATAATGTAAAAAATGTAAAATCAATATAAAGAAACGATTTATAAAAATAAAGGAAGAAAAAAAAAACATATACCCTTTTACGTATTGACGTTTGTCATTGACAAAACTCTTATTCTTTCATTTATAACTTTTATTGTAATTTCCACAGGTAAGCTTTTCGACGGCAACATCCATCATTAATCGTATCCGCTTTATCGTTTTATCTCTTACATTTATATAAATCACGGTGTATTTTGCAATTCTCTATAATATATAGCGAGATGGTATTTGTTCGAAGGGAAAGTTATTAAGGATTAGAGTGATAATCAAAGATTTGCATTTAAATTACGGCCATTGATTTTTATATTTTAAACAATAATATACCGTGTACAGAGTAACGCGTACATCATTTGGCAATTATATGTGACGGCACAGTTACTCGGTAAAATTTGTATTGACGTTCATTTCAAGAAAATACGACAAATTCCCAAGTTATATTATGCGCAGCTCCGACTAATGATTGAGCGAGAGATTCTTGGCAGTCGACGTAGTAAGCCTAAACAATATTATAAAAATTGTTTCGTCAATAAAATCGAGGCGATTCCAGCAAAAGTGCCACATACATAACGCCTTCATGGGGTATTTTATCTTAAGTAGACAGATATAAATGTGAAGTCACTAAAATGTATGGGGAACGGGGAGAAAAGAGAAAAAAGAAGAAAAAAGAAGAAAAAGGAGAGAGAAAAAAAAAGAAAAAAAGAAAAAAATTTTCGAGGATATGATGTGCCAGCAGATTTAAAAATATCTTTTTTCTCTCTCTCTCTCTCTCTCTCTCTCTCTCTCTCTCTCTCTCTCTTACGATGTATCGATCATCGACAAACAAAGACTGTATCCGCTGCTTCGTTTTTAACCGTAAAAAGAAAAAAAAAATTGCGACAGATATCGGATGATTTTCGAAAGTCGCTACAGGAATACTTCGTCCCGGAGAGCTTATCCATGATAAACGTCCTCGGGTGCAGAGTTCCGAATCGAGCTAAGACCAACAGTT